ACCTTTACTCGTGAAAACACCACATCATCCACATGGACTGGGGTGAAGGTTTGGGTGTTTTTAGGGTTTAAGGTGGGTTGGGGGGGTAGCCCGATAGGTCTTGACCTGCAAATCAAGGCAACCCTGTCCTGCTATTAAGCACCTGTGGAGGAACAAGAACCACAACGACTGCTGTGGGTTCTTCCAGTGGTTCATCCACCAACTTTCGGCCAAGTCAATGCTGCAGGAAGACAATTTGAAGTTCCCACCGATGGCAAAATCCAGAATGGCCCCAAATTCTGCCTCGGCCAAACTGATAGCTGCCAAGAAGCCTCCACGGACCGATCGAAAAGATACTTCTTTGGTACTTCTTTGGCGTGTCCGGAAGAACACTGATATGTGGATGCAAAAGTTGATGTCCTGTCATGTCCTCAACCCTCAACTTCAACAGTTGGACATCCTGTCAAGCTATTTCAGGACAGTACCCGGCGAAGCACTCAGGTTGGACGCCCAAGAAAGTGAGTTCTTTGAAGGAGCTCCGTACATTGTCTGCGTGCAGTCAGAAACTGGGAGACCTAGCAAACCGCAGTGGTTGGTCCCTTTGTTCCCTTGACTGGGTCTCTAGGCATCAGCGTCCGGTGTCTGGCAAAAAAAACACTGCGTGTCTAGATGGCCGTGCTGGCCGGACCGATGAGCAAAACACACCGAAACATGGAGATGTCAAGTATGTTCAAAAGCATCGCACAAAAGCATCGCAGCTTCGCATTCGCTTGGGCCGTCAACCCTGGAAGTTTGGTGCGCACAGCTGCTTCCAATTAAGAAGGTGACGCGACTAGCTAGAACCGGCCAGGCATGTCTCCAGTACACTCCAAACTGGAAGAGGTGGTGGATGGCCAATTTGCCGTGCCCAATTTCGGGGAGATGCCGTTCCATCTGACCCTACCCTGACCCTGACAGAGATGGTTTGCGCTTGGCCAGCCGCTTTTGGGGCTCAGAAATGGAAATGGACCGGGTGAATGGATATCAGATGTCATGCGGTGGCGGCTTGGACACGTCGCCAGGTGCGGAGAAAGGTGGGGGGGTGGCCATGTCGGCCATGTGCCTCATGACAAATGAATTCAAACGACATGAAATGGATTCCAATGGCCGTTTGGTCATTGGTTGATCCAAAGCAACCCAGCCCAAATCCATTGGAAACTCCACCGGGAACGCAGAAATCGATCCAGCATAAGCGACGGGCGCGGGATGCAACCCACGTATGGCCTATGCCCATCTGCCAGGCTGCAACATAAGCGAAACAATGCAAGCACAAAAAAACCAAAGAGGCGATATCGAAGCTTGAAGAGTCCTTAGACATCCAGCTGCTTGTGAACCGAGTCACGACCAGTCATTTGTAGGACGATCGCTCGATGTGGTTGGAAGGCAGGTGCCAGTGAAAGAGCACAGTGGTTATACATACAGATGTTCCACTGGTCTATCAGGGGTTCACTTGGCCTTGCTCAAAATATACGAGTATATAACCTCTAATGACTCTAATGACCTCAATGTAGACTGTACCAGTCGCGATCCCTTGTCCCGAGTGTGACAAATCATGTGTTGTCACAGTATCTGTATCTGTATCTGCCCTCAAATACACAAATTTCACCTCAGGAATACAGTAATACAGTATGCTTCACAGTGTCTTTTCATTCAGTCTTGGGCCTTGGGGGCACCAGGGCGTACCATATATTTCAATTCTAGCAATAACTACGTTTGCATCTACCCTCACTCCACCAAAATGGAGTGGAAAGCAGTGGTCCAAAGAGCCAATCGTTCGCACATCCAAAGGGCCACGAGCGCTCGCAACGGCGGAAACGGAACTCTCTCAAGCCCCCTCCCCGGAAACGGAGCTCCCAAAAGAGGCGGAGAAGAACGGGCGCTCGACCTGCCTTCGAGCTCGGCTCCCGAAGGCGGAAAACAGCTCGGCATACTAGCTTTCTTGTTCCTAGTAGCGATGCCCTTTGCTCCTGGTGGCATCCTTGCTCCTAGTAGCGATGCCAGGAGCCCCTAGTAGCTTCTTGTTACTATGCCGCTCGACCTGCCTTGCTCGGCTCCCGACGGCGGCAAAACGCGGCAAAAACAGCTCGGCGAAACACGTCCGCCGTCGGTTGAGCTTCTGAGCTCTTCTGCATCCTCTCCATCGTCGTTGGCGGACGGTGCGCTGAACGAGGTCGCGGAGCCTTTCCGGTCCAAATTGAAGCCTCGCCGACGGAGGCTCGCCATGGAGACGGACCAGGTCGGAGGTCGGAGAAAGGTACAGGTCCAGAAGCTCAGCTGGGTACCAAACAAGAGGTAAGCGGAATGAACGTATGCTCAATTACCTGTCTTTCTTTGTGATTCTTTGGACCGGTATATACGTATGTTTATGCGGGTTCTAGATGTTGATCATGTTGGTTGCTGAGACTGGTCACCCTTTTCTTCCGCCAAGCTGTCATACCACTCTGAAAGACTGCAGATCGCCACACTCATCTCTCATCGCCGCTCATGGCAGAGGGGTAAGGCAAGGGGCCTCCAACTTGTGCCTCAACAGACTCAACCAAGTCACGGAAAGTCAGTGGAATGCTCCAGAGACCACCGTGCAACACCTGAGACCATGGAAGACCCACCGTGAAATCCTGATGCAGAAAACCAATTCACTGATCTCTACTAAATAATTAGATCTAGAATCATCTAGAATCTAGTTAGATCTAGTTAGTAGGACAAGGGGTCCACATCATATCGAAGTGCAGGGTTTTTTCCATGGCTGCAGCTTTTAAGGTTTCCAGCTGCAAACCCTGTTCGTCGGCTGAACACCTTGTTCTCCCCCAGTCGATCACCCAGTCCCGTCCCTGGTGCAGTCATGCGGCCTTCCATGCGCCAAACGTCCCAGGACTACATGACTGGATGGTCAAACTTCAGCGTTCTTGAAAACTAGGTAGGATTTGGGGGTGAGTCGTGGCAAGCGTCCTCATATCCGCTTTGGCCAGTCTGTCTGAAGCTTGAAGGCTCTCTTTGGATGTGAGTGTGTCGATTGAGAAAACACGGGAACCCACACATTCCACGCCTTGGAATTCTTGTCCCACCACTTTCAGCTATTTGAAGGGTGTTTTCTTCGTCGACTATGAGCCACACTCATCGACCTTGATCGTAAAGTGGTCGAAAATCCTTGGAGCTTGCATGTCTTCACGTCGTGTCATCTTCAACATGTCCTCACATCGTCATCTGAGGAGAACTTCCGGCGTCGGCCGCGATGAAGTGGCCCCGAATCGACCGGTGCAGACCGTGTGAACCCGAAAAGGCCCCCGAAGGCACCCGAAGTCCTGGTTGACCCAATTCTGCGGGTGATGATGTCATCTCACAGGTGGTGGATCAGTAAGGGACTGAAGAAGTATTATGATGTATGACCTTTTCATCACCGTTCATCTATATAATGGCTCCCAACCAGTTTAGGGGCTAAACCCAATCTGTATACCTCAAAATTCTTGGCACAACTCCACAGGGTCCCAAACAAAGGATTCCAATTCGCACCAATCGCGTAAAACCGCTTCCGATGGTGTCTCAGTCTCCAAAATGGCTGAGTTCCTCAAGAAGAGTCACACAAATTGGGGCCCAGAAAGTTCAACACCGAACTACATCGGCTGTGGCTTTCGGTTTTCGGTGTTCGCTTTGCTTTGGCTGTCGCCTTCCTTCGTTCGATTGGTGCGCCGCCCCGCGCGCCTTGGAGTGGTCCAACTCGCCGATATGACCTGGGTGCTCCGATTCGGACGACGGCGGGGCGGTCTGCGCGGTGGGCGGTCTACCCGGATGGACCGAGAGGGATTCGGAGCGGACCTGGTCAGAGGCGGCGTGCTGGGGGTGATGCCCTTGTTCCGTTCGTAGTTTCTTGTTACGTTCGTAGTAAGAATGCTACTAGTAGTGATGCCAGGAGCCCCGCTCGTAGCGTCCTTGCTCCTAGTAGAAAGGCCAGGAGCCCCGTTCGTAGCTTCTTTGCATTTCTTTGCTCCGACTTCCTTACGAATCGGATGATTTGTGCTCTCGGTCCTTCTTGGAGCCAAACATCGAAAAAGTGCGTGGCATGGAACGTGCGACACACACGTCCGTCTTCATGAGGGCGAAACCATCTCCGTCTCCGTGGCCAAACGAACATGTCGAACACCCCTGCGGCATGCCATGGCTGTGTTTTGCATGAGCATGGCAGTCGTCCAGTCGTCCATCGGCGGGGCGTCCCAGCTGTGGGCCAGGACTACAAGACCAGAGTTGAACAGCCCATCAATACCAGCACCACACTGGTTGTTCCTCTGGCCATTGGCCACTCATAACTCCCTTTCCGGCAGGGTCCGGGGTCTGAAAAACACACACTAGGACCCTTCGGAACCTGGTCATCACATGGTCCTCCAGCGCCTGGTTCGGGTGGCTAGTCTCTGTGGTCGGGCGATATATGGACTGCTGAGCTGCGTCCAGATTCGGTGCAGGTCACCAGGTCACCTGTTGTTTGCTTTGTTTCACAAATGTGTAGAAATATTGGTACATACATATATATATATATGCTTATTACAGATTCTATTGGGTCCAAGTTCGTTTTTTCTCTTGCTTCTCCTCCTTAGAGACTTTATGACGCATTACCCCTGGCCATCTGATTGTTCTCCGTTCAACGAGGGTTCGAGTAGATTGCTGATGTAGACTGCACGGATTGTTGCCAAATGGTCGGATTATCAATTCAAGGGAAATGGTAGAACAATCGCTTCCTCTTCGTGTTTTTAGCCATCGTCTAGCCATCCAAGAACTGGCCATTCTGGGTGCAATCTACTAGAGGATACACTCCGACTCTGGAAAACCATTTTCCACTTCCATGTTAGTGAGTCAGAGGCTAACTCATAGTGACTCATTCTCATTGATGATCTGCTCAAAGGTATTTTCTTCTAGCACTCCTGATTGGAAGGCGCTCTTTTTGACGGTTGATCTTCTGACCCAACATGTTCATCCCCCCTCTCTTCCATCTTCCTTCAACTTCTTAAAAAGTCCCAGCCACTGTCCTCAATGCGGGTGCGCATGCAGAACTTGTAGGTATCCTCCTCTGGAATATCAAACATGGCTGACAGCTCCGGATAGTAAAACTTGTAGTCGCTCGGGAAGGTAAACCTGAGCAGGGCCCCAGGGCCCAGCTCCAAACTTCCTGCAAAGGCCCCAATAATGTGTCGGAGGTCTTTTTGGATATATGCATATATATGTTATTGTTATTGTTACTATAAATAGGTAGGCTTATTATATCTTATTATTATCAGCGTTTGCAAGAGAGAAACCAGTATATTGAACGCCCTCATGTGGACCACTACATGCACAGCATTCACGAGCTTTGACACCAAACGGTTCACATGTTCGGCAACGTTCAACAATTCTAAAACACGATCCCCACGTTCCACAACATTCATTACACCCCTGCAGACTAACATGGACCCCGAAAATCACCCTGTGGAAGAACATGTTCCTCTACAACAATGCGTCCTCTCCACAACAGCGTCCACATGTTCCACAACACTCATCCTTTCCACAACATCCACTCATCCCACAACATTCATCATCCTTCCAACGTGACCTTGTTAGGGTCTGGTGATAGCCGCGGAGGCAGGGTTCGGTGCCCCTTCGCAGCGGCAAAGAGACCAGCTAAAGTAAAGCGGGCGGACGGCCAAGCGAATGTGAGGTCCGCCTGGATTGCCCTCTCTTAATCTGCCCCATGCATGATTTCGCCAGGTTGCCAAGGTCTTGAGTCTTGAATCCTTGAACTCTGGAAGTCTTGAGAACCATTGCTTACCTACATCTCATAGTGAATTTTCTGGAAGCTGGCTTGTAAGACGTGTTCACCAATCAGCTTAATAAGCTATGTCAGTCAGGGCCGGTATGGCTCTCTTCAAGCCAGAAAGGAAAGGGTGTTGCTGAAGAGTATGGTCAACTGTCCCTACGTACATGTCCATACGACCTTTGAAATTTCATGAAATTGCCTAGTTCATCCTAGTTCCCAAACTATTGGAAACCTTTTCAGCTTCGGTCTGACTGGAATTGATCTTCGGCTTTCCCGGACCCAGTGGCTGAATGGCGTTGCGCTCCGAATCGGAGTAGCCGTTCTTCCACATCACCGCCTCGGCTCAGGCTGTCCGTTGCTTTCGGAGGATCCGTGGAGCGCTGGCCCCGACAAATGCCAGCCCGGTGCTATTCAAGAGGGTAGGTTTTCCCTGTGAAATGGGACTCGTGACTAGCTAGGATCAAAAACCAACAAACCAAGCTAACTGCACAGCCGTCAAGGAGTCAAGGGATGATGAAAACCGTTGTGACACCACCGTGTCTGGGTGGTGTGTTCCAGTTCCGTGCCAAAAATGATCCTTTCCATGAAAAGACTGAAGCGGAAAAACGCGACTCCGAAGACGCGAAGACTCCGGTGGCAACAACCTTTCTACGTAGCGATGCCAGGAGCCCCTAGTAGCGAACATCGCTCCTATTAGTAAGGCCAGGAGCAACTAGTAGCATCTTTGCTCCTAGTAGCGATGCCCTTTGTTCCTAATAGCTTCTTGCTCCTAGTAAGGCCAGGAGCCCCGTTCGTAGCGTCCTTGCTCCGTTCGGAGCGATGCCAGGAGCCCCTTGTAGCTTCTTGTTCCTACTCAAAACCTGTCGGATCCTGCTGGTTCCCTTCGGCGAACCATCCATCCGTCCATCCCGCCACGTTCGACCGAACTCATTTCGCGGGGCCGAGCTGCGACCAACTCGTCGGTGGTGATGTACACATCACTCTCGACCTGCGGCCGCGTGTTGTGGGTCGAGCGACCGGGAGTCGACCGGTCTGGTTCCAGCTGGAACATGGTGGAACTCACAGGTTCCCCACGTTTTGGTCAGGACACACGCGCTTTCCCCAGCTCAATCCCCATGGGCCAGTTGGCTTCTCAACTGACGTCTGACCACCTCGATGATTGGGATGAAAGTTCCACCAGTTATCATCAGTTGGTCCCTCACAAAAATTGTGTAGATGGGAAAAAAGGTCTCCATGGGAAACAAAAAGATGACAGAAAGGTCTCCACAAAATAGGAAGTCGGAAAGGTGCCAAGGACGACAGAAAGATTGAAAGCTTGAAAGGGTGTTCTTGACGACACAAGATGACACAAGGATCACACAAGGACATGTTGCTTCTTCAATTCTTTCTATCCACGGCTCAGAAAACTGCCCTCCCCCTCACACCGGAAAAAATCCCACCAGGTCCCATCAAGTCTCGTCTCAGAGTCACCGTGGCCTCATCAACCGGCTAGGTGGGCCTTCATCAAACAAGCAGAAAAATATGGGCTGTGGGTCAAAACCTGGACCCTGTGCATCCTGAAGGGTTAACCATCCCACTCACCTTCTCCTTCCACCCTTTCATCCGCCCAGGTACTACTAGGCCACTCTTCGCACGCTCGAAGAAGCTCTTGAAGGCTTCCGGGCGCCCCTCCTGATCGGTGACCACCTGGTGCACGATATGCGCAAGCGCCGCACGTCAGTTCTGTCGGTTTCTGGTGGTCACCACTGCAGCCCCGGTCAGAACGGTCACCACTGCGACTGGAATGAAGGGAGGGAATTGGGTGGATCTGAATGGTCCTTGGATTGCATTGGACAATGACGGATGCCTTTATCAAACAATAAAGTATTTATATAGATAAATGTATAATGTAATATAGTCAAATATGAATGTATATATATATATATAATACAATATAGTATAATATAGTATAATACAATACAATATAATATAATATAATGTGATATAATATATATATATACTGTATATATATAGGCATATGAAAATTCATTGCCGACTCCTACGGTGATTGGTCGATACTTCGATATCTGTGCGATCAGGCGTGCAAGAACCTGCCCACGGGACAAACTTGCTTGTCAGGGTCAACACGGATTCATCTGCCACAACGTTCGATCAACATTCACTTCAACTCCTATCCTTGGTTTTCCCAAAATGATTTGTTTCAACAAGTCAGGCTGCCCAGAGTTTTGCGTCCAGACCGATTTCGTGGTCGAAGTGCTAGAGCTTCGGCCAGACTCAGGACGCTGCTGAGAAATTCCTGTGAGGGCTGCCGTTCCCCCCGCAGGCGTCGCGAGACTCCGGGCCAGCGGTCGGATGAGATTCGATGAACGGAACTCGAGAGGCATTTGACACCGATTTTACCGATCACCATTTCGACGTTTGGTTGATCTTGGCTCTTCCGCTTTCAAATCCCATTCATCCACCGAAAGGCCGGCCGTACGGCCGAATGAAGCGCGCCTTGAGGTATCGCAGGAAGAGAGGCACTTCCTTGGTGAAGCTGGCCAAGTGGTCCCGCTCCGGGAGGGCCACTAAGAAGTCGTCGTAGTCAACCTGAGATCATGTCAGAAATCGGTGAGATGGAAACCGGGAGGTGCTTAGTTGGGCCAGGACAGGTGTCTTCTGGACCTGCCAAAACCATTTACAGACAAATGTCAGATAGCGCTACGAGCACATCGTGCCTTAGGTGTTCGAAAGATCCTATATCTTTCTGTCAAAACATCGATTGATCTTGCCGACGAAGCCACGCGTTTTCCTACCGAAGCGACGTGTTTCTTGGGTCCCGCACTCCATCTTTGTAAGGCTTCACGATGTGATATTTGGTGATATGGGCACCTGGATTTGGAGAGCCAAAACCCCTCTGAACAGCTTTGTAAGTCGAGTTGGAATGATTTGGGATGAACGGCTTGGCAGGTGGATTTGAGAGCAAGCAGCTCAAAAATCCTCGAAGAATCCAGGGCAAACGATGATATGCTTCCTCAGGTTCGTGTCAGGTCGTATCTGGACGTTGGGGAGAAGTTCTCTGGTCAAAATAATGGATCGAAAAACAGCAGCTACGCATAGCTATGCTAAAGCAACCATACATCGAAGACTGCCGGAAGAAACCCGAACTCACCTGAGGAGTTGGTCGTTTGCTCCCAAATGCTGCTGAACACTGCCTTGAATCGATTGTTCATTATATATATATATCCCTTCATGGCGAATGATTGTGAATGCATCATTTGATGGATTTGCGTTGTCAGCATCGAAGGTCAGACTCTCCCCAATCTTTGGATTCAGCGGATGATGGTCAATGGTCAATCAAGGCCTCCATTTGTACATGTGCCAACTCTAGAGGGTTGATCCGCGAACCCCTTAAGATTTCAAAAACCTAAATCCCGGAAGTAGTTGTTTTGAGGCAAACTCCCACAACCTGCCATAGCAACCCCAAAACCTTCAGTCTTGATTCGTCTTGACTCACCAGACACGTGCAAAATCCATGGCCCCCACACCGGATCGAACCCCTCTAAAAACAGAAGAGTGAAAAGTACCATGAAAAAAAACATCACACGAACCCGACCTTGCCCATCCTTGAAAATGCTGTTGGTCCTCATCAATCGTGCTCTTTGAATCTCTTTGTCCCAGGAAAGCAAAAGAAAAACACTAGTAGCTCCTGGCATTACTACTAGTAGCAGGAAGCACAGTAGGTCTTTGAAGCTACTAGTAACAAGAAGCTTCCTTGGGAATCGTTTCACAATGAATCGTTTCACGGGAATCGTTTCACCTGTAGTAACAAGAAGCTACTAGTACAGTAACGGTCTTTGAAGCTACTAGGAGCAAGGACGCTACTAGGAGGTCTTTGAAGCTACTAGTAGGTCTTTGATCGCTACTAGTAACACTAGTAACAAGAAGCTACTAGTAGCAAGGTGCATCGCTACTAGTAACAAGGTTACACCTTTGGAGGCCATCGTCGTCACCTCCAGGGCTCTGCAGCACCGGCAACGACCTGCACAGCGGCCGAGTTTCGTGGCCGTCGGGTGGGTGTTCCTTTGTTTTCCACTTTTGTTTGGGTTCATTCTGTTGGCATAAGTCATGTCGACATGAGTAAGTCGTAAGTTGTCTTGTATCATTTTGGCTGGTTCATTCTGGTTCGGTGGTTGGTTGCTTGGTTGATTGTTGCAACCCCTATTGAACCATGGAGCAGTTCACCCAACCCCCATCATTCAACAGCTCGTCATCCGTCATGGCGCTGTATCCACTCACGCGGTGTCCACTCACGGCTGTAGGTGTGTGTTGGATTAGGTGCCCGCGCACATTCCAAAATGCCCGCGCTCGGCCGGGCACCGCAGCACCTTGGAGCGGAAACTGGAGCAGGTCCTCTGCAAACAGGGCCCGTGAAGCTTCCATTCTTGTGGGGGCACTTCTCAAGATTCAAGCACATGAAATCAAAAATAGATCAGCTCTATGTTTTCAGAAATCCCTTAAGGTTGTTGACTTGGATTTCAGGTTTGTTAAGCTACGTACAGTAAGTCTCCAGTAGGTTTAGCCCAATGTGATATCAGTGATATCAACAGCATCGCCGGCTGGGTTGATCCTGGCACTGGCTCTTTGTTCCGCCAGTGCCAGTGTGAAAAACAAAGATCTAATTCCAACCAACTGCAACCTGGGGTTAATTGGTATTACCAATTAAAGTATATGATTGCAGCCGCTACAGCCTCTAGATTTCTAGATTGTTCTCCAGATGACATATGTTGCAGTACTCCAGTCTCCAACACCCTCTCCACAAGAAAAAACGATATCTTTGGGGGGGCCAACCCCAAACACGCGGTGCATCTCCAGTTTTGCGTTGGAAAATCAGACCCTTCACCGAACCGTCCACCTGTTGAACTCAGGCCCCGGCGGGCGCCGAGCGCACGGAAGGCGTGCGAGGCCTCACAAGTCGATCCGGGTTGATCCGGGCCCTGACTTAAGACTCTAGTGCTTAAACCCTAACTGAGTCTAGGTACTAGTCTAATAGGGCACTAATGGGACCCACTAGATGATCCAATCATATGATCATGCATCTATATACTACGATACTACGTATAGTGTGGGTCTACGGTCCCAGCGGGGCCGTAGACCCACTCCTTCGTGCCGCTTCGCGTCGCACCGGACGTGAGGCCTTGTAGTTGGGTCCATGGGGCGGCATATCTTCCAGTCCCATGGAGTGTGTGGGTTTGTTTCTACAACAGAATTCCAGTAGTAACAGGTGCCACGCTAGTAGTAACAAGTGCCTTACTAGTAGTAACAAGAAGCGAACGCAGTACATCCAATGTCCAGTCCCCGACCTGCGACCCCCTCGTCAATCAATCGGTGTGTACTGTGAGAAGACCTGCCATCAACCCGCAATGCTTCAAAGGCATCAGAGACTTGGAGAGTCCTTTCTCGTTTGTTGGATTTTGTTCGGACAAGTCCAGTTTGGAGCCACATCCATATGGGTGTGTATTTTAACCATATGGGTGTGTATTTAATGGGGAGACCTCCAACCATTGGGTTTTTGGTCTGTTTTCCTTCTTCCAGTGGTCTTTGGGAGGTCTCCCTATTTTAAGACACACCCAGTACATGTCATCCCACACCTATGTCGGTACATTCCGGTTTTCCTCCTTAGAGCTGCAGGTGATGCTTCGTGATTGGCCAGAAGACCTGGATCTGGACGGTTGTTCTGGACCAACTCATTTGTCTAGTCGAATGCACAACACTGACTCCTAGCAATTCATAAAACACATGTCAACTGGCAAAGCAAATCAACAACATGGTTACCTAATGATGGAAACTTAGACATCCGCAAAACTGGACATCCTGCACCACCAGAAGCTCTACCTCACAAAACCCTGCAATGTTCTCAGGTTTCTGAGCTCCAGGGCAAGCATTGGATTGGCCGCACCTGTCAAATCTCTAAGGGTGGCGGTGGGGGGCCAAGGGGCCTTGTTGGTGTAGCTCACACAGGGAGACCTCCCAGTTTGACCCCGTGGAAGAAGGAAAATAGAAGGGGAATAGGATTCAAAAATCCATTGGGCCAGGGAGTCTGCATCTGGGTTCACTCGAACGTCGAGTAGTCAGGTCGTCTTTGGTGGCGGATCGTCAGGTCATGAAAAGCGCGCAGCGCTTCAATCCTCACAAAACACTCGGAACAGTCGCGACTCTAAGTAAGCGGTACCTCAATAGTAAATTGTTTTCCAATGTCTATACTGAACAGTCGATAAAAATTGTGCAAGTTGTCAAGGATATAGAAGTACTGTAGAACCCGCACCCAGAATGTCAATGCTGAATGCATTTTCGCAAACCCGTGATAAGTGTGATTGAAGTATCCACTCGCCACTCGGTGTGATTGAAGTCATCCACTCGCGGTGAGTGAAGTCATCCATGCCAGTCAGATCAGATGGGAAAACCCGTCCATACACAATAATATATATATTTTAAAAAATGTATGTATATATAATTATATATGTGTATTTATTCAAACTGCAAGGTTACGTTTGCCGGACAAGAGAGGGTTTTGCCGGAGAGATGTATTCTACCGAGGCAGAACCTACACAGTGTCAGCATCGAACCCCATGAAATCATATAACTATACTTGAGGCCAAGGGGGGGGGGCGAAAGCTAGCGCTCCAGAATGGGAAAGTGGAGGGCAGCGAGGTAGGAAAAAACACGGCGCTCTTTTTGGAGGCAGGGGTGAAGAGTCCTTTATATGTGGCTCTTTGCCCGGATCCTCCTGCGAGAGAAGAGAGAGAAGAGAGACGGAAAGACGAGAGACAGAGAGGAGAGAGAGAGAGGAGAGAGAGATGAGAGAGATGAGAAAGAGATGAGAGAGACGAGAGAGATGAGAGAGATGAGAGAGATGAGAGAGATGAGAGAGAGAGAGAGACAGTGAGACAGTGAGACAGTGAGACAGTGAGACAGTGAGAGTGAGCGAGTGCGGCCGCAAGATACGCAACGCTAACCGCA